TGACAGCAGCAGGAGGTGGTGCCCAGCTGGGATCTGACCTCCCAGACCCCGCTCCGTAAACACGAGAGGCTGCCAGGAGCAGGATCTGATTATTTCATTGTTTTTCCTGCGGCTGTGCCTGGAAACCCCCAGGCAGGATCTGTCATTTCTGACACTGCATCATCCTTAAAGCTGAACCACACCAAGAGGCAGACGATGCTTTTGCCCTCTCCACCAGTCCATGGGGCAGCTCCACTCCTGGTAACCCCTTCACGGGCTCCCCAATTCCCTCCCACCCCACCGTGGGGCAGGAGGGGAGTGGGACAGAGCTCCCAGCACCACTGTCTCACCCTTGACTTTGGAGATGAGGGTCCCAGCGGCCGTCAGGGTCTCCAGGGTGTTGAGCAGTGGGTACTTGTTGATGACCTGGCGCAGGATGCGGAGGGTTTCACCCAGGCACTCGTGGGCCAGCGGCCGCTGAGGCTCCTTGGGGTCTGCAGGAGAGGGGGGCTGAGATGCTGCATCCTTGTGCCACGTCCCTGCCCCATGTCCCTGCTCCCTGTCTCTGCTCTGCATCCCTGTCCTGTGTCCCCTGTTTACCTCCCAGCCACGTCCAAGGCAGGGACCTGCCATCTCCCAGACTATGCAGCAAATCCCCCCGGCCTCAGGGCTCCCCATGGCTGGCACAGCCACATCCTGCTTGCCCAGCACCTCCCCACAGTGTGGCCGTGTGTGTCCTGCCCAGCCTGCTATTGGCCAGGGGGCAGTCTGACCCGGCTGGCACAGCCACATCCTGCTTTCCCAGCACCTCCCCACAGCGTGGCCCTGTGTGTCCTGCCCAGCCTGCTATTGGCCAGGGGGCAGTCTGACCTTTGAAGCATTTTTTTCCTCCGTAGTAACTTTTCCCTTTGAAAGCAGTTTGGGAATTTCCTCCATTTCCTTCCCTCCCTCCTGCCGGATGGACGCTTCCAGCCAGGAGGGATTGGCTGGTTCAGCCAGGCTTGCTGCATCCCACAGGTTCCCCCCAGGACCTTCCCTTCTGCGGGCTCCAGTTGCCAGCCCAGGGGTCTGGCCAAGACCCCCTAGTGCAGATCTAGGGCTGGGGACTGACAGCCTGGTTAGGAAGTGAGGAACCTCCCTCAGGAAAGTGCTGGGATGGGGGATCAGCACCCACTGCCCAGCCAGGCAAAGACACCTCCCCATCCCAGCCCCCAGCTCAGGGCTGGAAAGGGATTTCTGCAAAACCAGGACTGACAACGTGGTGTCATATGCCCCCAGACCACGGCATTGATACATTCCCTGCGTCCCCTCAGGCAAGGACAGCTGCTCATGAGCCTGCAGACCACCCAGCCCCTCCTGCTGGCTGCCCTGGTGGGCTGGGGGCCGTGCCCGGCACCCCGTGGTGGCCGGGGGGCCCTGGCAGGCGGCTGGCACCGCTGCACTGTAAACAGGAAAACGGGCGGATGAAAATAGCAGGCAGGAAGCCGCGTTATCCTGGCTCCGAGCTACACTAACCCACCACTCTGACCGCAGCTGCACGCTGCCCCGGGGGTCCTGCAGCCTTCTGGCCCAGACAGAGACTCCCCAGCCACGGGTGGGTGTGTGCCAGGGTGCCGAGATGCAGCTGTTAGCCGCGGGGTGGGCACTCACCATCGCGCAGCACCACGTCCCGCAGCTTCTCCAGGGCATCGGCGAAGCGGGCGACGTCCGCCAGCAGCTGGGAGATGTCCTCGGGGTCGATGAAGGGACTCTCCCCGCCCTCCATAGGGCTGTAGGCCATGGGGGTCTTGTGGCCCTTGGGCCCGGCGCGGGGGGCCGTGGGCAGGGAGAAGCCGGTGGCGCTGGCATGGCGGCTCAGGCTGGTGGGGCGCTTCAGGGTGCCCACGGCGCTGGGGCTGCTGCTGAGCTTGGCACTGCCAGAGGGCAGCTCCCCACTGGAGCCCGGCGCCTCCAGGCAATCCTTGCGGGAAAGCTCCTGGGGAGCGAGGGTGACTGTGAGGGTACAGCATGGCAGGGACCCCAGAGAGGGAAGCACCCCACACCACCATCCTGGAGAACGAGCTGTAGCTTTGGGGGACTGGTGCCAGATCCTGCAGCTTGTCGTGCCTCAGTTTCCCCAGGTAGGGATCCCCTTTGGGGACCATCATGGGAGAGTGGGCAGGGTCTAGGCACTCGCCTGGCTGCCCCCATCAGTCCCTGCCAGCTCCTCTGGGTCTGTGTTTGTCATGAGGGGCACACAGTGACGGTGTGGGTGACACTGTTTGCCCAACCCAGCACCCACCGTGATGGGGCTGTCCAGGGGGTTGGGGACCCCAAAAGAGCAAAATGGCAGCAGGATCCGGCCCGCATGTCTCTTCCTCTTTTTCAGCAGCTGCTATGCTGGGGAAGGAGGCAGAGACAGGGACACCTCCCATGCTATTGTTTGGGTTTTACAGGTATTTTACAGATGGAGGAAGCCCCAAATTTCTAGGGGTAAAATTGCACTGAGGGAGGGGCTGGTACCGGCACTGTTCAGAGCTGTCACGGCTTGAGGGCCACACGAACAGTGAGAGTCCTTGGGCGTGGGGAGGGGACCCTGCAGCCCCTCAGCAGCTCCCACCAGCGACCCCCGGCACCCGGTTTGACACGAACGCGGGGGGTCTCAGCACCCCCGGGCGGGCGCTGCCGGAAGTGGTTTTGGCACCGGCGGAGCAGACACGGAGCACCGAGAGCACGAGGCTTCCGCGGGCGAGGGCGAACGGGGGAGCCCATCCCCACGGGGAGGCCAGACCACCATGGGGCTGCGAGGAGGCACAAAGACCTCCGCCCCAGCACGCCGGGCATCACCCCAGCCCTGTCCCGCTCCTCCCGGCTTGCAGCGGCCCCGGTGCCTCCCGTCCCTCCCTCCGGCGCCTCGGGGTGCCCCCGGCCGTACCGTCAGCCTCACGGCGGGCGTGCGGGGCAGCGAGTCCAGGGAGCGCTGGGGCGGGTGGGCTCTGCCCGCCGCCGCCGAGGGGCTGTAGCTTTTCTTACCCGCAGCCCGACCGAGCATCCCGCTGGCTGCCACCCATAGGCCCCTCTCCCGGGGACTCGGGGACGGGGATGGGGACGGGTGTCCCCTGCTAAGAGCCGCGGGTGGGCTCCGGGTCGCCGTCAGCATCGTGCCAGCCCGGTGTCGCCTCCCGCAGCGGGACTGGGGCGCAGGCGCGGGGCGGGCGGTGCGGGGTGCGCCGGGGAGCCCCGGCGGGCAGCGTTTCCTCCCGGCCCCTCCGGCTCCGGGGGGTTCCACGAGTCAATAAATAAATATCTGGCAGAGCCGAGGCACCGGGGCTGGCCGAGCCTGCGGTCGCCCCGCTCTCATCCCGGTCCCCAGGGAGGTCTGTGAGTCTCTCTGCCCTTCCCAAAGCCTCGGCAGCAGCCCCCCCGCCTTATTTCCTCCCTGTCCCTTCCTGCCCTCTCGCCTCCCTCGGTGGCTGCTCCGTCCCTTTCATCAGGGGTAAAAATCCCACCCCCAGCCCCGCGAGTAAGGTTCTTTCTGGTTTCCCTCCTCTCCACAGACCTCCTGGACGTATCCAGGGCCCCACTGCCAAGCTGTGGCTCTACCCAGCAGTTCCGTGGGTGCCGGTGCCCCTACAGCCCCCACCGTGCCAGGGGTCCGGCGGAGGCACTCACCGGCAGGCTCTGCGGGACGGGGCTTCCCGCCCGGCTCTTCTTGGAGATGGAGGGGGTTTTTATCAGCTCCCGCTTCTTCCGGGAGAACATTGTTCCCGGGGGGCCGAGCCGCTGCCCTCAGCCCCTCGCTCGGCCCGGTTCCTGGCCGCCGTACCGGTTCCTCGCGGCGCCGGTCACATTCGCGGGGCGCAGTGTCAGGAGGGCGCGTGTGACGCCGCCTCGTTTCCTCATCGGCTTCGCAGCCCGACCTGAAACAGGAAAAGCCGAACGCGCACCCAGAAGCGAGGCCGGGGCCAGGGGCACCCTGGCTGCCCTGCGGGGTCACAGGGGGCAGCGGGACCCCGGCACTTCTGGGGTTTCCAGAGGGTTTCAGTGCTGCAGTTCGGGGCTTACAGAGTTGGGGGGGGTTGAGCCCCTCTCTTTGGAACTCTCTTTGGTGGGAGTTCTCAGAGGGTTTCAGTGCTGCAGTTTGAGGCTTACAGAGTTGGGGGGGTTGAGCCCCTCTCTTTGGAACTCTCTTTGGTGGGAGTTCAGCCTGTTTGGGGGTGTCCATCCATCCAGGGATGACAATCTGAATGTCCATCCCTCTGAAGGCCCCAGGTGTGGGGTTGGGTGGGATGGGGGGCTCTGGGCTCCCACTTGTTGGATGCTCCCGGCTCTGCCCTTCTGTAGGCTCGGTGGCGGTGCCGGGACCGGCCCTCTGGGGTCACAGCCCTGCCTCCTGCCCTCCCCGGGCTCTGTGCACCCACAGTCCCACCGTGACTCTCCCACGCACGGGGCATCGCGACCTCACAACGGGAGTATCGGGGGACATCGGACAGACCCCTGCAGAGAGCTGGACCGGGCCCTCTGGGTGCTGCGTGGGGACCCCCGGCCGCTGCCCACGGGCTGCTGGGGACGGCTGCCAGCCCCTGTGGGCAGTTGGGGGGTGATGGTGTCCCCTTCCTGCTCTCCTTCATCCCGGCACCTCCCCGCCGGGCCGTACCAGGCCGGGCCATACCGGGCGGTCTCTCGTGGAACTTATGCCAGGTCCGTGAGGACACGGGCACGGCGGAGGGCAGGCCAAGAGGAGCAGGATGCTGTTGGGGATGGGTGGAGGTCTGTGAGGTGCAGGGATTATGGAAGGTGTACGCGTGGCCCGCGTGTATGCGTGAGCGTGGGTGCGTGTGAATGTGTGAGGCATGAGTGAGCGAAGGTGCGAGTGCGTGTGCGAGCGCAGGGCAGCGCCCGTGGGTCGGGGGGTGCGTGTGTGTATGTGTTGTGTGTGTGTGTTGTGTGTTCTGTGAGTGTTGTGTGTTGTGTGTGTGTTGTGTGTGTGTTGTGTGTGTGTTCTGTGTGTGTTCTGTGTGTGTGTGTTTTGTGTGTTCTCTGTGTGTGTGTGTGTTGTGTGTTACATGTGGCACCCACGGGCACGGGCCACGGTGCCCACACCCGTGTACAGGGATGCACACGCGTGTGCCCGTGTGTACCCAGTGCCCGTGTGTACCCAGTGCCCGTGTGCCCGGGACGGCTCCAGTTCCGGCCCCAGGCTGCCCCGACTCCGGTGCCTCTCGGTGCTCCCCGAGTGGCAATGTCGGGGTTCGGGACCCTCCCCTCGATCCGGCCGCTCCTGCCCTTATTTGGACATTTCACCCCGTCCAATCAACGCGGGGGGGGCCGGGCCCGACCCCGCCCCCGCCCCGCCCGAGCCCGCTCCGGTACCGGCCCCGTTGCCCGCTCCCCGCTCCGGTACCGGCTCCGTTCCCCGCCATGAGCAGCTCCCAGTTCAACAAGGGCCCGTCCTACGGCCTCTCCGCCGAAGTCAAGAACCGGGTGAGCCGCGGCGGGGGCCGGGCGGTGCCGGGACCACCGGGCGCGGGTGAAGCGGGAGCTGGGGGATACCGGGGCCACCGGGCGCTGTGGCTGCCGGTGCTCCTGGAGGCGCGGGAGAGTCGAGCATCCCGGTGCTGCTGGGGCGTCCCGGTTACATCCCGGGCTCTGGAGAGGCGGGCGTTTTTCCGATATGCCCCAGGACTAAAGAGCCGGCCAAGAGCGGAGAAGTTGCGGGATTCCGGGAAGATGGAAATCCGGGGCTTCCCGGGAGGATGCGGAACTGAAGGACTCAGAGTACCGAGGTCTCTGAGGGCTGGGGAGAGCGAAGCTGGGCTCCCAGTCTCGAGTGTCCTGAACCTGCCTAGAGGGTCCCAGGGACGTGTCTTGGGGACCGCGGTTGGGTGTCTCCCGTGCGGCGGCCGCTGTGGCTCCGCTGCCCCCGGCAAATGGAGGGGACCTTTCCCGTCACACCCGAGGCTGGGGGCGATCGCCTCGCTTCTCTCCGGACCAGCTCCACAAAGCTTCTCCACTTTCTGCTTCCCCGCAGCTCCACATCGCTGTACGGGATGCTCCGACCTGGCAGCGTCCCCGCGTCTCCGGGGATGCGGCTTTTGGCCCCGGTGACTCTGCCGCCGAAGTGCCGCGGGGCCGGGAGGGGAAGGAGGGATGGGAGCCTCCGACTGAGCTGTTTGCACCCCTAGGTGGGATCCGGATGCGGTGGGGTGCAGCTGCCGGCACCCTCCTGCCCCCGCACGGGGGTCCTGCCGGGCCGGGGGGCGCAGGGGACACAGCAGCCCCGGGTGGTCGGTGCTGTGCCCAGGCGAGCAGAGACTGAGCCGTGGTCACCCCGGGGCAGGTGGCTTGAGGGTGGTTTGAAAGTGTTCTGCCCGGGGACACCTGGACAGGCAGGAGAAGGGACAAGTGGTGACAGGCACGCGGCTGCCGTGGCCGGGGTGGTGGCGGGATGTGGTGGCCGTGGCCGGGCGCTCGCTCCTTACCTGGCCTCGCAGGGGATTTGCAGATTTGCATTTCGTAACGGGGAGAGGATGAGCCCCGGCCTGCCCGGGGCTGGGCTGCCCCAGCTGAGCGGGTGACAGTGTTTCATGTTGATTCAGCAAGACGTGAGCCAGTCCAACTGCCCCGGTGTGTCTGATGGAGGTGACATCACCGACTGGGAGCCAGATCAACCAGTGACATGCTCCCAGTCTGTGGAAGCCCTTGCAGACTGGGCTGTGGTGGGATCTCTCTGGGGCTGGTGCACTCCCCATGCCCTGGGAAATCCTCAGGCTGGCTGTGGGGAGGGAAGAGGAACTGGCTTCAGCTGCTCATGCTCCAGAAAATCAGCTGGTGGGACTGTAGAATGCCCCAGCCAGGACACATGTGGTGTCATGAGGGTGAACCATGTCCTGCATCAGCCGAGCTTCCATTTGGAACTGGAGTGTCTCCCTGCCACGTAGCAGGGCTGGACTGTGCCCATCCCAGAGTCTCCCTGTGTCCAGGATCCCTAGGAACTCATGGCCTTGGCACATAAGAGGACCAGGAAGGGACAGGATGGGCGAGAGGCTGGTGCATGCCCTGGGGCCACCCCCAGGTGCCAGCTGAGCATCAGAGGCGCTGGGCTGGGGCAGGACAGCACTCGGGGTTTCCAGACCCTTCCCTCCCTAGGCCAGGAGAACTTTCCCTTCCCTTGTGGGCCGGGGGCTGAGACGACAGAGATGCTGCTGGCCCTGGCAGCTGGTCTCCATTTGGGAGGAGACATCCACATTCCTGGCATAGCCGCGGTGACTGAGGAATCTGTGGTGGAGGCTGGGCCTCGCCAGAAGGGAAAGGGAGAGCATCTCGTGGCCAGGACCCCTGGAGCTCAGAGCTGAGCTCCCACGGGCTCCAGCAGACAGGGAGAGACAAATCCGGGGGGTCACTTCCCCCTAATCCCATGGGCAGTTCCTTCTCATGCTTTTGGAATGGTTCAGAAGCTGCTGTATCTGCTGGCAGCATCATACTCATGCTCCTGTCCCTGTTCCCATACCAAGGGTGGGAACTGTCCCCATGAGGGGTTTGGGGTGCACGCTGGGACCCTGCCTGAGCTGTCCCCCCACTGCCCCCCAGCTCGCCCAGAAGTATGATCCACAGAAGGAGGCTGAGCTGCGGACGTGGATCGAGAGCGTGACAGGAAAACAGATTGGACCTGACTTCCAGAAGGGGCTGAAGGATGGGGTGATCCTCTGCGAGTGAGTCCTGGGGCAGTGCTGAGCATGGCCCCAGCCCCTGCTCCAGCTGGGAGGAGATGGGGGATACCAAACCTCCAGGGGACCCTCACCAGCCCTTGTGGTGGGAGGGTGGGCTGGATGCGTGCCAGTGGGACCTGCCAGAGTCACCCCCAGGGCTTCTGTGTCTGGGGAGAGCCCTGAGGACAAACAGGGACTGGGGGGGGGGAACTTGCCTCAGATGGAGGAGGCCTGGGCTGGACCTTCCCAAAAGGAGCTTATGCCCTGCAGTCACTTTGAGGTTTTTTCCTGCCACAGCCTCATGTCCCCCTGCCTCCCTCCAGGCTCATGAACAAGCTGCAGCCCAACTCAGTGAGGAAGATCAACCACTCGGCCCAGAACTGGCACCAGGTAGGTGCAGCTCTGCTGCCACCCGCCTGCTGTTCCTGCTGTCACCCACCAGGGCTCACCCCTCTGCCTCTCCACAGCTTGAGAACCTCTCCAACTTCATCAAGGCCATGGCCAGCTACGGTATGAACCCCGTGGACCTCTTTGAAGCCAACGACCTTTTTGAGAGCGGGAACCTGACACAGGTGCAGGTGTCACTGCTGGCACTGGCGGGAATGGTGAGCACAGAGGATGAGCAGTTTGGGACGGGCTGTAGCCCCATGGGGACCTCGAGTTTGGGCTGGTGCTTGTGGGACCCCACAGTTCCCCCTGCCCAGGGAGTGGTTGGGGGGTTTGGGACCCCTGTCCTTCCTCACAGCCGCTCCTGGCAGGCCAAGACGAAGGGGCTGCAGAGCGGGGTGGACATCGGCGTGAAGTACTCGGAGAAGCAGCAGAGGAATTTCGACGAGGCCAAGATGAAGGCTGGGCAGTGCGTGATCGGGCTGCAGGTGGGCTGCCACACGGGGTCCCATGGGTGGAGGGCTGGGCAAAGGGTGCTCAGTTCTGTCAGATTCTCAGCGCTGTCACAGCTCCAGGCATTGCTGGAGGGACCTAAGGCATGAGATGCCTCAAGTGTCCTTGGGATGGGGGACCATCTTGGCTCTGTGTCCAGTGGCTGGGAGATGGGTTAGGGAGCACTGGCTGTGCTCCCCAGCCTGGGGGGGATAGGGACAGGGGGAGAAGGGGCACATGTGGGGCAGCACACATTCCTCACCAGACCCCTTTGTCAGATGGGCACAAACAAGTGTGCCAGCCAGTCTGGCATGACGGCCTATGGCACCAGGAGGCACCTCTACGACCCCAAAAATCAGATCCTGCCACCCATGGACCACTCTACCATCAGCCTCCAGATGGGCACTAACAAGTGTGCCAGTCAGGTGAGCCCCCACACTGAGCTGGGGAGGGATGGGAGTGCCACAGCTGAGCCCTGCTCCATCCTGTCATCCTGTCCTTCCTTCCAGGTGGGCATGACGGCTCCCGGCACCAGGAGACACATCTATGATGCCAAGATGGGGACAGAGAAGTGTGACAACTCATCCATGTCGCTGCAGATGGGCTCCAACCAGGGCGCCAACCAGAGCGGGCAGGTCTTTGGCCTCGGCCGCCAGATCTACGACCCCAAGTACTGCCCCCAGGGCAGCCAGGGCGAGGTGGCCAACGCTGCCGGGGACCTGAGCGGGGACCCGCCCGGGTACCGCTACTACCGTGAGGAGGAGGAGAGCTACTGAGCGGGATGGCTCCGCCCCAGCCGCACCATCTCATGTGCAGCCGCGTTCCGGCCTCCACTGTCATCATTCCCTCTTTTAAAACTCTTTTTTTTTTTTTAAACTCTGGAAATGAATCTATTTTTCTGAGCGAGGAAATAAAGACCGTTTCTAGAGAAGAGCCCAGCAGATTTCCCCCCCCAGGAGCTCCAAGACCCTGGGGCAGCAGGACGGTGGCAGATGTTGCAGCATCTGGGAGTGGACAGTGTCACCTCTGACTCAGCCAGCACCCACCACACACCCCTGTGATGCCCCCGGATCCCTCAGCAAGGAGCGGGAGTGGGTGCCCTGCTGCCCCTGGTGCTGCTGCTCGTCCCTGTGCTGGCAGGACCCTGCTCAGCCCTGTGGAGGAGAGGGCCTGGGGTCAGCGGGACACGGGGGAAGCACATCTGGGAGAGGCTGCGTGGCCTCGGGCTTGTGAGTGTGAGTGTGAGTGAACGTGTGTGTGCACGCAGCTCTGCACTCTGGTGCGATCGCTAAATGCTGGAAATGCCCTTTTTGCAGAACTCGTAGAGACCAAGTTTTCAAGGCCACGGTGATGGCTGCAGGGCTGGGCCGGGAGCTGGCACACCTGGCACAGCTGGCACACCCAGCCCTGCTGCAACCTGATCGCCCAGGCTCGTTGGAGCCGAGGTTGGCTCCAATGGCTGCATCCTGCACCGGGGCGGTGCCCTGCCCATCGATATCTCCCCTCCCGTGAGGTTTTTAATGTGGATGCTCTCAGACTGAAACCATTTATTAAAAAAAAAAACAAACCCTTTCAACATAAACAGGAGCTGGTGTCTGCTGCAGGCGCCTTCTCCAGCCTCAGGCGGGTCTCTCTCTGTGCCTGGGGGGCTGCAGAGAGCTGGGTGAGATCCCCGGAGTGACAGAGGGCTGGGGCGGGATGCTGCGTGTCCCGGGGAGCCGGGAACGGGCTGCGGGGTTAATGGATGTGCGGGATGAATGAGTAATTAACTGTGCCAACGGGACGGGATGGGACGTGCCTATTCCGGGAAGGGATCCACCTTTTTTGGGGGAAATGCTGCGTTTCGGAGAGCCACGCCGCTCCGTGGGGCTCCCAGGGGTGGAGTGGGGTGGGATGGGATGGAATCCATGGGATGGGATGGAATGGGATGGAATCTATGGGATGGAATGGGATGGAATCTATGGGATGGGATGGGATGGGATGGAATCCATGGGATGGGATGGAATGGGATGGAATCTATGGGATGGGATGGGATGGAATCTATGGGATGGCATGGGATGGGATGGGATGGGATGGGATGGAATCTATGGGATGGGATCCATGGGATGGGATGGGATGGAATCTATGGGATGGGATCCATGGGATGGGATGGGATGGGATGGGATGGGATGGAACGGGACAGGACGGGACGGGACGGGACGGGATGGGATGGGATAGAATCCATGGGATGGGATGGAATGGGATGGGATCCATGGGATGGGATGGGATGGGATCCATGGGATGGGGGGGGTGGGGGCGGGATTCCTACTCCCCGCCCCCCGCCGCACCTGCCCCTTTAAGAGCCGGCTCCATGACGTCACGCCCACGGCTACTTTGTAGCGCGGGGTGGGCGGGGCCTGC